AAATTCAACTTTTCATCTTCTATTTTAATTATTAATAATACTCAGTTATGAGTTAATGACATTATCTTAATATCAACTGTAGAGGTAAAGTTATGGTGTCCATTTTATAATTCCTATAAAAAAAACTAAAAAAAACTAAATGGTGAGGCTTGTAAGCCTCTTTTATATAACTCTCTAACTAATGGAGGAATATTTTTTGTTCACAATTACCTCCTTCTGATGAGATTATTTCGGCAATTTTCAGGTACCATTTATGTTATTTTTTGGTTTAACTATAATAATATTAAATAAGATTTTAATAGTGATATTTTGTGTCCTACTTTCATCATTATCACTTCAACTGGTTTGCTGTTTTATGAATTCTTGAATTTATTTGGAATCTTCTATTTGTATATTATATTTTGCCATGTAAAATATCATTTTTTCTTATTCATATTATATCAGCTCATAAATTATCACAATATATTATTCTACTTCTTTTATTAATGTGGATTGTAGGGACACGTACAACAAATTAATGGTTATTAATGGAGTAACTCATTCTTCTTATTGAGATTTTTGTAGCTTTAATGATTATTCATCCATAATTTTGCTAGATATCTTGTTTTTTTTACAATTCATGTTTTACTTCTCTTTTAATATTATTTTTTATTTAGATTTCAATTTCATAATGAATAAGCTAATTTTTTAAAACTGAGACATTTTCAAATTGATGTATGTTCAAATAGTTTATGTTATCGACGTATATGATGAAGAAGACTCTTGAATTTGATAGGATATGGGAGAAAGAATAAACAATAACTCGAAATATTATGTAATAATTTTCATATAAACTCCATATGAAAATAAAATAATGTTGGCAAATATTGATAAAAAATAACACAAGTTTTATCTCTGACTTATTGTTGTGTGAGATTCAATTGAATACCCTCATGATTTCTATCATTAACTTGAAATCCTTGTTCAATATTTGCTTTATTACCATACTAGAGATTCGATAAAAGTGGGTTGATTTTGAGTCGAAAAGCGAGTGAGAAAAGGAAGATCATTGATAAAATCTCATTCAATTTGTGTTTGTTGGTACCACTTATGAACTCAGTAACAATCTTATTGATTTTAACAAACGCTTGGTACAAGTTACACACAGTACTAATCGACATTGAAGCCGTTTTAAGAGGACCTTCGTTGAGGAGATAGAAGGAGGCTCTCTCCTCCCCTGTTTATCTTCAAGCGTTGTGCTTCATTTGGCGATATCTGGTTAAGCGTTTGTGAGGACCTCAACAGGCATTGCTCTAATCACTGATGTGTAACCTGCAAGTTGATTGCTCATTGGTTGACTACTTGTCCTAAACACCACAAATTCAAATCCACTTTCCCCTGCTTTAATCGTTGCGGGGAAGTACTGAGGAACCACAAACATTTCTCCTTGGTTCACCTTATCGTTCATCACTTGTTGCCCGGTCTGATCTACTACCTGCACTTGTGCTTCTCCTCTTTCAACGTATACCACGCTGTGACCGGTCAATGTCCAATGAGGGCTCATCAATGCATTCTGCATCCACCAAGGCACAATTTTAATCAATATAAGTCATACTAATAGCAGAAATTTTCGCCAAGAAGAATTGATTTGATTACCGGATATATGGTTCCTTTAGAAGCACTCATGTCAATGTATTCGAGGATGGGAAGTTTTTGGCGACCAACATGGTTAACTTTGCCTGCTTGCCTTGAGAAGATATCAGCTCGTCTTTGAGTTTCTATGTTGGTGCGGATTTTCATTGTGCAGATGTTCTCTTCCAAGCCATTTCGAGTTACTTTCTCCCACCATTGTTGTCCTCGTTGTGATCGCCCTTCTGCTTCTTCTTCATCGGGCTTAATAGTGCTCATTCCTTCCCTCACATTGACAATTGTTCCACGTTCCGTCTGTTCTTCTTGCATCTTCCTCACAGTCTCTGAGGGGATGTTGATGGCCTCGGCTAACAATTCTGTGTCAAAAGCACGGAAAATGTTCTGGAACTTCTGCTTCCTTTGCTTTCTTAGACCAGTTTGAGCTCTTTGGCTTTCGTTTTCTTGTACTCCACCGGCCAAGTAAAATACCTAAACTCCAAAACATAGCCAACCAATATATAAACAAATTATGTGAATTGTGTATATAGGTTAAAACTCATTATATATGAAGTTGTATCATGAACAAAAAATTCATTAAAAATTGTAGACATTGGGGAGTGAAAGATTTTACCCTGGAGTTCTGATCAAGCTGTTGGATCGATGGTTGAGGTCGTTAATGGCTACCGCTACGAGCTCTTCCTCACCGTCGTTATAGCACCAATGAGCAGCACCAGCTGGAATTGCCACAACATCACCTTGGCGTATACGGTGGACTTTCTGGTGCTGGTCGCCTCCGAGGCCCTGGCCCCTCTCTTCCCTTGGCTCTCGGCCGGCCTGGAAGGTCTGTGACTGGAAAGTCTCAGCACAGCCAGGGTAAGTAATGCCAACTATTCCCTGTCCACGCTGGATGTAAACCAAGCCACGCATGGGATGAAATTTAGGCAGAGAAAGAGAATTACGACGGATAACAAACCTCAGAGGAGCAACTCCAGCGCACTGGAATTGCTCCTCGTTCTCGTCCCATAGCTCAGAGAAGCCGCCCTCTGACTCAATTCGATCAGAGGGCTGGCATCCAGCAATCCTCTGTAAGCGGCATTGTTGAGCTTGAGTAAGACGAGTGCCTCCCTGACCTTGCTGACCCTGATACTCTCTTATTGCATTTGCTGCAGACAAGAGAAAAGCAAAGAACAGTACAGCTAACAAGAGCCTAGTAGTGACCGCCATCGCTAATTAGTATTTTTTGATTGTTTATTCAATAGAAAGATGAGATTTGGAGAGACTGAGGCCTCTGTTCTTATAGCGTTAGAGGGTAACAAATAGGAAGGCCGCATGGCGATTATCCTGTTTTCTATTGCATGGTGAAGCTGTCTTCATCTCAACACTTTGCCATGGTTGTTCAAAAAGACAGTCACTCCATGCCAATCACCTGTATTAGCTTTTTGTGTTTGTTTTTTTGTGGGCTATAGGGAAACTTATAACAGAAGACGTTAACATCTACTATTTCAATTGCTTATTAGTACTAAATTTTTAAAGCATCAACCGTGATCTCTGATTTTGACTTGACATAAAAGTTAAGATCGTAGAAAACATTTTATAAGCGGACTAAAAGGAAAAGTAAGACAAACAATTGAAACAGAGGGATTAGTATTTAAGTTTAGATATATGTATGTACAACTTTCTTTTATGGCCTAAGTTTTTTTTTTCATTTTTTGCTCTCTTTTACAATAATCCAGAAAAAAGGGAGTAGGATAGAAACTTAAAACAAGATAACTGAGAAGAAAAATGTTAATTACTTTAGGCACATATACAGTGGTACACTAGGCTTAGTTTTGTATCTGTAGAAGGCTGTTTTCTTCTTGTAAGTAGGATTATCAATAGTGATAACTATTCTCCCCTCTTCTCTAATATGAAAAGAATTCCTTACACTCTCCACCATTTTCTTATCTTCTTGAAGCATGACTCTGTACGAACAATCATCGTCTGGTATGAATTCTTCTCTGTAACTCACTTCATTCCCCACCACTATCAAATCCCAAGTTATTGTCACCTCAACCTATAAGAAATAATACACGTATTAGCAACGCGCGGATCCATAAATGGACTTAAAAGGAAATGAAAACTAGGCATTGTAGCAAACACTACCTCTTTGACAGGCATTTTAATGAGGCAAAATGAACATGGTTTGATGCTTATCTCTAGAACTTTGTCATCAGTTGAAAACTCAACATCCTTGTCCTTTTTGAGTCCACCATATTCAGCTAATAAGTTCTCTGGGCTAATATACCTATATATTATCAATCCAACACAAATCTTTGAGCAATTTAAAAGAAAATCTTACTAATCCCTCTGTTCCTATTTGTTTGTCTGGTTTTGACTTGACACAGAGTTTAAAGAAATGTAAACAAGGACTTCTGAATTATATAGTCGAGGAACGTAAAATGTGTCAACCTGTCATTTAATCTTGTAGTGTTAAACATGTGCTTCATATAGAACTAGAGAACTGTTGAAGAGAAAAATAATACAAAATAAATTGAACCGGAGAGAGTAATTACTTGAGAAGGGTCTCTGTAACTTTAGATGGCTTCACAAATATGAAGGCATTCTTGCTTCTTTGTGTGATCATTCGCAGATTAAGTGCATGAACCGTGGAAAACCAAACAGGAACATTGATAAATATCTGCAATATTACCATCAAATTTTCAATCCAAAATCACATTTCAAGAAAAATTTCTAAACAAGGGAGAAAATTTCGCGTACATTCTTGTATATGATTCCAGGATAATGATCATGAACCAAACTCATCATCTTCCTGTTAATCCAACGAACCTCTTTCCAAGCATTTCCCGGTGAATTTCCCAAATCTGTTATCATCACAACAGAATTAACCCCTCCTTGTTTAAATTCAAGTTGTTGAATTGCCTTCTCCAAAATATGTATCCTCCATCTAAGACACTCGTGATGATGATTATGTCTTCCCCAAATCTCTTCTTCCAATTCTTTGTTCTTGATATTCCTAAACACATTATAACATAATAGCCTTCCTTCCCTATCTTTACCATCATCGTTATACCACAATTTCTCGAGGTCAGGACTAAATAGTTTTTCATCAAGAATCTCCGTTACTCTAAATTCCCTTCTCCATCTCAACGTCTTCCTCATCATTTTATACGCATCATAAACACCATAATCCTTAGCTCTCAAGAAATTCAACAAAACAATATCCGTCCTCGTGTTATCTTCACTTGGTAATAATGGAACACCCCATAATGAAATTCCAGTCAAATCCTCTGTTATGGTTTTAACAGATAGAGACTGGTTTTTGTTTTTACCATAAATGTATCCACCAAGAATTGCATCTTCCACCCTACATCTTAATCTAAGCAACGCGTGTTTTCTTGAAGCTTTAATGTCGAGAGGAGATACTAATTGACCAGGCTGATCAAAAGTAGGTTGATGATCATCATTATCATCATGATCCAAATGTTCATCTGATGATTCTGTATCAGTGTCGCTGCTGCTCATGATATCATCAACAGCAACCTCTTCTTCCGCGACAGGAACAACTACTTCCTCCCGCATCATTCAAGAAAGTTAAATTAATATTAAGAATATATAAATATAAAATGAGATTAGGCCATATCAAAAATGTGTTTTTGTTTTTCCCCTCTGGTTTATGGAATCAATAAACCAGAGGATGTGATTATGTTTTTTTTTGTTCAAAAGTGTCATATAAACTACTAATACTTAAAACCATTGATATTATTGGTTGGAGCTAAGAGGACCATTCACATATTAAAAATGTTTGACCATCATTTGGATATTACTTTTTTATTTGGGGGGAAGGGGGGAGGGGGTTGGAGGGGGACATTTTGGATTTTCTTTTGTTTATGTGTCTTTGTCAAGTCTAGTCACTATATACGTGCAAGCACGTAAAGTAGTAATAAATTATATTTTTTTTCATATCGTTTAATTTGTTCACATATATTGTTTTTAACTATACAATACAAATTAAACGATACGAAAAGTTTCTGTTAAAAACAATAATCCCTCTTTCTAGCCTTATTTTGATTCATTTTTATGTTTTTTTTTCATTGACCAATCATTTGGTGCTTTTTATGAAAAAATATATGGTATTATTCTGTATACATTTCATAAAAAAAAATCATGAAGAAGGGGCTTGGACAGATTAAAATCCTGATTTCGAACCCATTCGTTTGTAACTGCGGGATGAAGTACCACTTCAGGAATTATAATTTGAAATCCCATGATCTAGTAGTTATTACAAGCTGATGTTTGCAAGTTATGTCTAGTAATACATATACACAAAACAGATGTACTCGTTACTAAAAACAAACTGCAGAACAACATTAACTTGTAAACTAGAAGGGAGGAACAAGAAACACTACAACCACCTTGTTTGCCTATTCTAATCAAGCCTTCTCCTCTCCTGAAATACCCGGCTTTACAACCTCGTGGAGTGACTGATTGCTATCTCCTTTTGTAGGTGCTACAGCATGACTTTCACTTGCATTTAAAGACAGCTTCTCTAAATTGGCTTCGCTGGTATCAGCAAGATTAGGCTGGCCACTTTCATTTTCGCGTGTTTTAGGCAGTCTTTCTCCCGACTCTGGAGCTGTGTTGGGCAGGCCACTTCCATTTTCAGGTGTTTTAGGCAGTTCTTCTCCTGAATCTAGAGCTGCTTCCATCTCCTCATACCTAGAAATGACTTGTCGAAGCTCATCGTGAAGATTTAAAGCTTCAAACATCAACCCCTCATCACCTGAAGTTGATTCCACAATTCTTTGTATAACTGCCAAAGACTGCTTGCAGTTCTCCAACATGCTCACAGCCAGATCATCCTTCAGCAACAAAAATACATCAGTTCATTCATGTTTCATAGGTCAACCTGCTGGTCAGAAGGTCCCCCCAAGAAAATGGAAATGGATAAAAACACAGAAAGAGGGGGAGGGGGAGGAGTCTAGAGGAATATCAATTTCTTTAATGGAATATAAACTATGTTAGATCACACAAAAACAGAATTTCTTCAATGGAACATAAACTATGTTAAATCACACACAAACGGGAAGTTTTAACAACAGAATATTTTGATGTCAATTGACCTTTACTTTTATCGTCGTTTGGGTGATCTTAGTAGTGAATATGTCCAACCATGCTATTAACTTTTTTTTAGAATGATAATACCACTTGTTGTTTGGAAAGCTAGAGAAATGAATTGAGCATTAAAAAAGAAAAACTTGGACTGGAAAGAAGAAAATTTTGAGAAAAAACCAAGTTGTGCTATACTCACAGTATAGCATAAGTATAGTGGAGAGTGTAATACCTCTAAGCCTGGAAGAGAAGCGCAATGTATAAATTCTGACAGAATCTATGTATTATTTTATGCAGAATAGAAGGTGGAATAACTAATGCATAAATAACTGCGTAGCTCTAAGCAACAACCAACGACTTAATGCGCTATTTATATCTCCACCCGATAGAAATACAAGGCTTGGAATAACTTGAAAAGGCAAGTAGAAATCTTCAAGTTGTAGGTTAATAATGCAGATAAAGTAAAGCTCCAAATAATTTGAAAGACATAAGCAGGATTGTCAGGAGAACACCATAACTATGGAAGCATTCATTCATCACAGTCATCAATCTTCAAGCGTTCATTTATTTAGTTCATGATTATTTGCAATTCTTAGTTTTTTAATAGTCAACAAATGACCTTCTAACCTTTCTTACTTAGATATTAGAATGGGTTTAATTCAGTAAAAAGTTAATAAAAGGTCCCCGTAGGAACGACACTTGATTCACCCTTATTATTTATTGATTGTGCATACTTGCATGTGCGTTTGAGGACAGTACAACTCACTAGTAATGTGATTAGAATTAAGCATTAATCCCATTTGTAGGTCAGTTTATTTCATCACCAGATATTTGTTCTTGCTTTTCACTTATTAATTTATAGTGCTGGTGTCTGGGCAACTTTTGATGGATGACCACGACAGGATTCAATGAGTTTCCTTTTTATCTTCCGCTGGCATGTATGCTTTTATCCTTAAATCCCAACAATAGTGCACTTCAATTATTTCACATGTAAATATGATCATATTCAAGTTTTACTAATTACACTAACGTCCTTTCCATTTTATAATTTAGTCTAGGAATCTTCAGCTAGCTTCAAAGTTTTAATAACATTCCCAACTCAATGTTGCAAGCCTAAACTAGTTGTATTTGTTTAAACTGGTCATTTCAATTTTAGCAATGGGAACATCATACTGTGCTTCCTTTTTTTTCTTTTTTGATAACCGTAGTTTCTGAACTAGCTTGCACACACCTCCACTTATTCCGTAGGATACCTACCATCTCTCACTAGCAACATGTACCAGGCAGCTCTATCCACCGAGGCTAGAACAGATGGGAAAAAATCGCCTATTGTTTTGTCTCTGCTCGGATTCAAACCTGAAACCTCATGGTGTTCAACCTACTTCATTAATCATACTATGTTTACCTTCCTTTTAAAAGTAAACTTAGTAGAATACTTGATTTATCTCTTATTAATTCAGGTTACCTAACAAATTTTGTTAAGGTACGACAAAAAAATACTTCCTCTGATATCGTTCTGTTGATCAATTAAGGAGCATTACAAGGAATTGTTACATTTTCATCCCCTTTTAATAGTATTAATGACTATTATGCCACTATAGCCAGATTGTGCTTAAGGGAAGTGCTTCTTTCAAGACACTCGGAGAGTGGAGTGATAATTATGACAATACTCTAATCAAAAAATAATTGCTGAGAAGTCTTCAAATTTAAGAGTCAATATGGCTTAGAAGGGAGGTTTTGGTGATGCCATCTTAAACAAAAGAGAAGGTTGGTGTATTTCTGAAAAGTAAAGAGGAGGTACTACGACGGCCAACTGGGAGTATTATTTGCACAAAGAACAGAAGTTCTGACAAGACAGCGTCATGATGAAAATAAAAGGGCTGGCATGAAGATGAGAATTATAAAAGGAAAATAAGTGTGTGCAGATGTCAGATGTCTGAATTTTGGTTTATTCTGTTTTTGGAACCTTTAAAAAGCAATTCACTTGCCATCCCTGAATTAAAAAATATGTACACGCCCCTTTTCTTGCATCCTACCCATCCCCACCACCCTGCAGGACATACAAGAATGACTAAAAAATAATGTCATTTATTTGAGCCTTGCCTCTACTTTAGGGAAGCTAATAAGTCCTCCATTTTAGTCTAAACAACATTATAGTCTATCAAAAACTAGAAATTCATATGTAAACTCTATGAAAAGCTCTATGGTTGATGTCGTCAATATGCTACTACGCTCAACTTAAATCCCGTTAACACCTTCTAAAAGACACTTCTTTCCTCTTCCCTGTTGATATTTGATCCCCTCGCCCACACATAAACTCTATTCCCTTGTGAACTCACATTAGTCACCACCATCCTTTAGACCTTAATTTCTGTCACAAATCCTCCTCAAGTCCTCAATACCTATCATGGCCCCACTGTTGCCTTTATCTATTCTTTTTATAAGTGTTGTTGTCTTGTTTATCTCATCCTGAAACCCCTTTAGGATCTTCTTTTTTCTTTTCTTTTCTTTCCTTCTTTTGTCCATTTTATATAATTCTTATGATTGAACAAAAATGAGGTATTGGATCTACTTGGCTTATGCTTTTTGGTGGAAGTAAAAGAATGTTGATTCAAGTACTTGGAAATTGGTGAGAAGATAGACTAAGGACTTGACTCAACCCTAGAAGCTAATTTGTGATGTGAGGTTTTCCCAAGACCATATAGGAACAACAACTCATTCCCTCAGCCATTGTGGACATTCTAAGCCCCTCTTCCGCTCTCCTGCTCGCCCAGGGCTAGACATCTGGAATGTGAACAATGTAAGGCCCATATTGGGTTTGGTTTGCTACAATGTTATAGGTCAATAATTCAACCACAAAAGTAAGCTTGTAAAGTAAGCATTGCCCATGATCATATAAGTAGAATCACTCCTTCAACAACCAATGTGGAACATTCTACTAGGGGTTAAGGAAGAAAAACATGAAAGAAAAGCTTCTCAACAATTTGGAGATGGGTGAAGCAAGTTATTGAACTAGGAACTAGGAAGCAGAAGAAAATTTATTGCACCGAAAATTAGTTCAGTTATATCATGAATCAGAATCTTGCTGATCTATTCCATATGCATTGAGTATGTGTAGCATCAGAATATCTATGGATAACCTTTTTAATCGCGTCCTTCTGTGGCTAGTCAGAAGTTCCATAGCTGAGTTTTCTTCGAGGGTGAACTAAGAGGTTTTCTAGTTTTTGTTTCTTTTTATTTTCTTTTTGGCCCAAGAATTTGAGGTTTTTTTATTCCTTAAATTATGCTGCCGGTGGTTATCACAGGAAAAGAAAGCCCCTCATAGGATCTTGGGAACCCTATTAATAGAAGATGAACAACAATCTTAAAAGCTGAAATGACTACATCAAAAGCTATTTTGGCATATTTCTTCCATGTGCTAACCAGAGAACCATGGCAATACTACAACTAAAGAAACTCGAGAATGACATTTTAATATGGATATAAACTTCAATCAGAAGACGTAAATTATTTCCATTCTGCTCTGACATTAGCAGAAGATTTCTCCATTTTTATTTAAACTAGATTTTGTGCTGAATGTGAATAAACTGTAAGAAATAGAGACGGAAAAAAAAAGGTAGGTACTCATGTCTTAAACGTTGGTTCCTTAAGAGAATCAAGTTAACATTTTTTTTTCTTGGATGATGCTGGAGGTGGTGTATCACATGAAAAGGTAGCCCCTCATAGGCTCTTGGGCACCCTTTTTTATAGAAGATAGACAACAATATCCTAAAAGTTGAAATTACTACACCAAAGGCTATTTTGGATTACATTCTTTCATGTGCTCACAAGAGGACTATGGCAATACCACAATTAAAGAAACTCCAAGTAAATGACATTTTAGTGTGGATATAAAATGTTAATCAAAGGATGTAAAATCATTGCCATTCTACTCTGACATTAGTAGGAGATTCCTTTAGTTTTATTCATAAGCTAGAGCGGAGGTCTACTTATTTTCTTAAACTACAGGAGGAGAGGCCTAACATATTGAACAAAATAATTTTAAGAAAAAGATATCGACCCAAAATAAAAACAACCCTTATGTGCTGAAGGTGATAGATTGTAAGAAATAGAGGTGAAAGAAATAGGAGAAAATATTTGTTGTGGGGTTAACTTCACAAAGAAGTTGGTAAAAAGAATTTTAAGAAAGCAGTTGGTGTCCATGTTTAAAACTTTACCAAGTAGACCATATACATCTTATACAATTTTTTTATTCTTAACTTATCACCCAGAAAGAGAAGTCTGACATTGTTTCCTAGTGGAATCAGCTACGAACAAAAGTTGTTTCTAATTGGAAATTAATTTGCTTTAGAGCTTTAACTTCAATTCTTTCAGAAATTCATGCAACAAATTCAATAAGAGACATATACAAATCTGCTACATTTTTTTAATTGTTTATTAATGAAAATTTGTTAATTTACCAAGAAAAATAACCATTGGTTCCTTACTGAACCAGAATTGAACAAACTCCTTGCTTATAGGAAGCTAACTTGCTCTAGAGTTTTAACGTCAATTGTTTTTGAAATCATGTAGCAAATTCAAGAACATGGTAGTTCAGCAGGTTAAGATATAGCTGACATGTTTGTTTAGATAAGTAAATGTAGCCCTTATGTTAAATTAATATACAAGAGTTTCTTTAATTTTCAACTTGGTTTGACAGGCATTTGACACGTGGATGAGCTAAGAGACTTAACTCCTCCTGGAATAGTAAAAGATCAGAGAAAATTAAAAAGTTGAACAGTACTAGTCCAAGTAATGGGGTAACAAAACATAGGTCCAGAATAGAAGTGGAAGAAACCAAGGGCAGAGGACCACAGTGAACTAAAAATCTTTTAACTTAGTGAAGCATAACCAACAAAATGGAGCAAATAAGAAAGTAACCTTGATGGGCTTTGGTTCAACATCAGAATTCATTATGCTGGAAAGGATCTCAAGACTGTTCCGTGTCACTACAAGAAGTTCCTTCTTCTCTTCAATGGATTCACCAATATAAGTAGTTTGCTCATGATTCCGCATCCCCGTATCAGGAATAGGGTAGCTTTCAGGTGGTGAGAGTAGCTGCTCGTTCATATGAGACTCCAGGGGATATTGCCTCTTCAAGTTCTATCAAAAGGAAAGAAAGTTAAGCACCTTTATCCTCTGGATAATAAGGCATGCAATATGCAAATGTAAATCAAGGCATGATTCATGAACTCAAAGATCATCTGCTAGTCTACCAACACACGTCAATGTTCATCTAGTATGATTTTAGAAGTTAGTAAACATTGGCATAAGATGCACCTAAATGGTCTACCATGTGCTGCCCCACCCCTCCTCTAAAGGTCCAATCCATACCACCACACAGTTGTTTTCATCAGGTGAACACTACAACGGAAAAGAGTAGGCCTCGAAATGCAGACATATCTGCGAGAAGGCAGAAAACTGAATATTTACCATATAAAACAATCAAGCAATAATCAAAACAATGTAGTACAAGCACTTCGATAGCATCTCCAACAAGCACAATCAACAATTATCACATTGATGCTCCTTAGCCCTTGCAGAGACGTTACAGCCATATATTCTCCACTGTTAACTAACTTCTAACATGTTGTCTTGTCCCTGACATCTACATCTAATAGAAGAAAGCAGACTTTTCACCCTTTCGCTCCACACTTTCAACACCACCCCATCCACAATAGTAAAGATAAATGGAAGAGAGAGAGAGAGAGAGAATACTCCAGATTAACCTATTTTTCGCTAGAATACATGACTTGCTGCTATCCCTAAACAACACCTCCTGTCCCACATCTTCTCTCTATCACCTCAAAAAAATTTAATCTAGGAAAATAAATGAAACAATAAGAGAATTCTTTAGTTGCATGAGCAAAAAGCCAACTTGAGATATTGCCTCAATATGTCTATTTTCTAGTCTATTAATATTTGCAGAGTCCTCAGCCTAAATAAAACCCCTATATAAGGCTGATATAAACAATGTTGGACACATGCCAGTGCCTCCAGTTAAAAAAATCCCTACTTTGACAAAAAAAAGATCAATTAGAGGAAACTAGTATTCAAATGATTTGGACTCAAACGGAGAGAAATGATTACAAAGAATTCATATAGCTAACTCTAACTTAGATGCTCTGCTGATTGATTGAGTGTTGATAAGTTCTTCTGCGAGGGATTTTAAACATAATAGCAAGCATGCTAAAATAAGAGAGAGAATACAAAATTCACATACAATACTTGACCTTTCCACTGGCATAAATACTTACAGCAGGTACACAAAAGAAACATAAAACTTGTATAAATAGGTAAAGTAACCTTAAGATACACAAATCAAAGTTCGAACATGCATGTGCTCGTTTGGTAAAGAACAAGCTATCCCGAGATTAGTTATACGGATTGATATCCCACGCTCAATGTTGGATAAAGATTACGCTACAATCCCGGAATAACTAATCCGTGATAAGTTATTCCGCAATTTTATCCCAACTTACAAGGGATAAACTCATCCTAAAATTAAACACCGGATTAGTTATCCGTTATCCCTCCAAATCTTATATACATTCAATACAAACATTTCCTGCAAAATAGACTAGGGTTTACCATGTAAGTTTGACGAAAGACAGGCAAGTAGCTAAGGTCCTCGGATTCTCCCCAAGCAGTAATAAGCTCCATAGCCTTAATCCGATTCCCACTGTCAGTTTTAGGGTCATCAATCATTTTAACCATATCATCCAACACCTTCTCAGACGCCACTTCTGAAAACACTTTCTCACAATTAGATGTACAAGTCTCCAGCAAATCCAAAGTCAGCCTCTGTGTCACTGGACTCTTGGACAAAACTAACTTCTTCTTAATCGCCTTTACGATTTCCGTACCGTTGAACTCCTCGCTGTTGATCATCCCACAAATTCGTAGGTTCAAGCTCCAATTAGGTTCCTCCATAGTCTCTAGCGTAGCTTCATCTACCATTTTTGATTCTGGAGTTGGACCTTGCAGAATTTCTTTCATTTTTGCACTTACCATCCTGCTCATTTGTGCTCCTCCTGTCTTCAATCGTTCGCCCAGTGATGAAGAAGCCATTTTTAGCTTATCCATGTTCATGATTGTTGATCAGATGGAAATTGGAGCAATTTGGGGTTTCAGTTTTGACAATTTGGGATTCTCAGTTACCGACATAATCTTCTCTTACGACTTTTGTAGTAATACGTTTCTCCATTATGAAATTCAAAATAATTAGTTAAATTTACTAATTGCTAAAATAAAAATAATTTTTTAGACAAAACATGGATCTGTTTGACCAAGGTTAATTGCCATGTTTAGCTAAAACTCGAATGTTTATTTGACGTATGAAGCTTATACAATTATATTCGAACGTAATTTTGATGATGATATTTTTAATAAAAAAATTTATGTTCAATACTTGAATTCAAAATCTCTAATTAAAATGAAAGCATTCGAATAATTTAAAATTTACTTTAGCTATATTGATTTATTAGGAGTCAAATAGAGTTAATGATTTGATAAAAATATTTGGCTAAATAAATAAACTTATATTTAGAGAGAATTTAACAAAGGACCTTCAAGTTCTAATTTTTTTAATAAGTGATATAAGATTATCTAAAAGTAAATAAAAACAAATTTTGATTATGACCATCAAAAAGTTAAAAATAAAGGGGAGGCAAATCTACATTATAATTCTACTAATAATAATAATAATAAAATCTTAAGTTATGAGGCACATTGTGATTTTGTAATGGCACCTCATATATTATTTAGTTCTAAAAAAATATTAACTATATTTGATATAATTTTATAAATAAAGCTATTATTTGTGAAATAGGAATGTGACTTGACTTTGTAGCATTTTGAGGGTAACTATGTCATTAGTATAGGTTGTTTTTTTTAGGTGAATATTTTAGAGGCGTAAGGCGCTACACATCAGTGCCTAACACGGTTTAGCAGCTTAATCTTTTCGGCTTAACAGAAATTAGAAGAAAAACAAAAAATTTAATAAGAAAACAGATATATGAGGGTTTAAGAAATAAGGAGAGGGGAATACTAAAAACTCTACGCCGGTGACTAAGACGACGGCAGCCCATTCAGCCATGGTTTCGGCAGCAACATGGATCCGATACGCAGTCGGGAAACTTCAATACTCTGCCTCTATTGGCTGGAAGGTCATCTTCGTTTCCTATTTTGAATCACACTTCATTATTTACATTCTACGATTGTTGAGTTCATTGTATTGAATCGCCGGGAGCTTTTTTTTACCATCTTTTTTCATGGATACATTATTCCTGTGCCAAACCAGGAGTCTTTTGTCTTTAAACATTTGATCTGATTTCTTTCAGCTTAATGTCAGCTGTATAACTTTATTGAATGCTAAAATGAGTATGCATCAATTTTAGTTCAGAGTTCTGGATTAAATGTTTGGGAATCTAAAGCTTGCAACCTTAGTACTTCTTTTAAGTATCCTGCTCTTAGAGGAGGGGACAACAAAACTATAACTAAGCTGGGTTTTTTTGTATTCCAACCTAAGAGCCAAGAACACAGGGGGTATTTGGCCTCATACCAATTTGGAGAGGGAAATATTGTGGTATGAACTGGCAAGTTAAATTTTTTGATCAACTGAACTTGTCCTTCTTATTATAATTTCAAGGAAATTGAGATTTGGTGAAAGGTAGATCAATTGTATAAAGTTCTAAATTTCCACTGCTAGATACTCTTCTAATCAGTAGAAGTCCATTGGGGAGTGGGATGAGGTGGGGGTTCAACACCAAAATGTCTGAAGTAGGGTGATTACCTTTCTCCCTTCCTCTTTATTCTGGGTATGAAGGGCCTTAGAAAATGCTTGATATAGCCAAACAAATGCAATAGAGAAGGGGCTTATATGTAGGTTTTATGGGAGAATACAGCATCAGCATCTTGTTTGCTCTATGCAGATGATACACTACTCTTTTGTGGTGCAGAAAGAGTCAAGGTTCTCTACTTAACGTTGTTCTTCACATTTTTGAAGCTTGTTAGGACTGCACATTAACATGCTGAAATGTGTCATCTAGTCAATGACATACCCAATTTGAATGGATTGGCATGAGTATTATATTGTAGTATTGATTCTTTCCCACCAACACATCTGGGCTCCCACTTGGTGCTAAATGCAGTACAACAAAAATTTGGAATGGTATAATTAAAAAGTTTGACAGAAGTCTTGCCTACTTGACCAATGTAGGATCTCTCGTAGACTCGCACTTGTTAATAGTTTCCTGAACAACATTCCCACCTGCACGCTTCCCCATTCCCATTAAGGTGCAGAAACAATGGGACAAGATCAGGTGAACCTTTTTATGCAAATGTTACGGCAAGGTGCAAGATTTCACTTAGTCAATTGTTCTAAAGTCGCAGAACCAAAATTCCTTGGTGGTCTGAGCATTAAGGATCTGACTACTCATAGTAATGCATGATAATAAGTGGCTATGTAGGTATATTCTGGAGGACCCTGGTCTCTGGAAGGAGATTTTAAGGACAAATCGTAGAGCTCAAAGTCAATGGTACACCAAACCATCAAATACCCGACATGGCATTTGTCTATGGAAGTTGGGGTTAATTCTCCTGGAACATCCCTTTCAAGGTAGGTAATGGTCTCTGTAACAAATTTAGGAAGGACAGACACTAACAAAGGATTTTACTCGGTAAACGAGAGGCTAAAGGCAGCTCACACGCTTGTTCTCAAAATGAAATAGCTGACAATTTGCTCTGTAAGTCGATTTGGAAAACTCAACTGCCAATTGAGGTTATTTGTCAATCTATTAACTTGGCTTGGCTCATGGACAATCTAAGCAAAAGGAATAGACAGATTGTTAACAGATGCTATATATCTCACAAAGATATCATAATCAGCGACCAACTATTTCTCCACTGTGCAATTGCCATAGAAGTACAGATTTCTGGAATATGGTGTACTTACCTTTTGGACTCAATTGGGTCATGCTGTAATCACCTTCTAAATCCATTTTTTGGTCCTTTTAGTTCATACTAATAACAACTGGTAGGTTTCATTAATGCATTGTGGCGTTCTTAAGCTGGGCTTTTTGGAAAGTTGGTAGAGCCATCGGGATAATCTGGAGAACGATCCTACTTGTATTTTTTAGTGTTCTTGCACCGGAAGAAACTGCAAATATTTGATGGACTATCAAGTCCAAGTCCGTCCCTTGAGGCTAGGTGTCTCCTGGGTTTCTTTTAGTTGTATCAATCAATCCCTGGTAAATTCCCGTAATAATCTTTTGGACTTTGTTAGCTCCCTGATCTTAGCATCGCCTTTGCTGTAGTGGTGCTGACATACTCCCTTTTGTACTTATTAGCTTTTTTACTTTTTGGACGCCATCAATGAAATCTCTTACTTCATTTAACAAACCCTACTAAGGGATACTGTTCTTTCAAATCTTTTAATGAAAATTAAGTTCGACTACATAGTTCCAGAAACAGGTTCTGGAACAACTTTCATTCTCTCCAACTTAGACTTTGTCCTTGGATTCCTCTTGACAATAATCATGAATCGTGAGTAGTTGTATATTTTCTCTGCTACTCATTCGATATGTTGAGATGGTTTAACTAAAAAAAGATTTGCTATATAAGAACACTTTTTGAACAGAATTACCGAGAGTACGAGGTAATTTTGCAAGAATCACAGCACAACAAGAAAGCATATAGGTTTGACTCAAAGAGCAATCAAAATATAAGCAACACCAACAACCATTTTTTTTAATCCAAAAAAGCAAGGAACTTTAGTTTAAGAATTCCTCTAATATGGTGTCATAGTGTGACTGATATCTAACTTAAGATGCAATTTTCTATGTTGAAAAGTATTCCCTCAATAGCTAGTAATTATCTTAACTTTATCTACATGTAAATACAACCCTAGTATTTTAGGAAATAATGTCTTGGCAGAGATTTGAACTTGGTGCTCAACGTTAGAAACTTGAGTTCCAGCACAGAGAGGAATAGTAAATAATGCAGGTCTTGTTATTGACTTATTGTTAGAATCCTATAATCACTAGCCTACAAATTTTGAATTGAGGGTAATGATACTGATGGAGTCCAAACCTTCCCTAACTTAAAAGGAATGACGAACCAACTTAATCTAGGAAAGCTTACTACTTGTGGAGAAATTTACTAAAAGAGAAACGAAATGACCTTTTCATAGTGCCGAGATGTGCTAAGCTAACACTTATAAGGTAAAACATGCAAAACATTCTAATAACTGTCGCTAGGTTAAGTAAGAAGTTAAAGACACAAGCTGTATGGGATCAAACAAGCTTTGCCATGTTGGAAATATCATCTGCTTTTCTACACTTAAAATCAAGCAAGCCTCTATATTTTACACTTGTGCTTACATGCCTTTACTTCTCGAGTACATCCCCCTTGCAGGGGAAGAAGGAAAAAGCTTAACTGGGATTTAATGCTATGCAGAACTACAAAGGAGGTCAAATTACAGATAGAGAATTAGGTGATACCATATGGAAGAACTTCTTTCAGGGCAAGTTGACATGCTTGCACTATAACAAGGGAGAGGAGATGGCACCAACACTAGGAGATCAGAGCTGCACACTTCTTGTTCGGAAGATACCTTGGGTTGATCCAAAGTAATTTCTCCTTTATTGCAATGCAGCCAATTACCTTATGCATGGTTTTCTCCTATGTTACTCGGACTCTTCAAAAATGTCGATGGATGCGTGTCGGATCCTCCGAAAAGAGTGTATTTTTGAAGGATCCGACACGGTGCGGCAACATTGTTGGAGAGTCCGAGCAACTTAGGTTTTCTCTACTTCATTGCTGGAATACATTGTTGCTTTATACTAATTCCTTTTATTGTTAGTATCTTCACTTGTCTAATCTTTAAACAAGTAACAGAGAATTGTCTTACTATTTTTTTTTTTTTACTATTTTCTTTTATAACTGTCTGGCATTTTCAACTGGGATTTTCTTCTTGTAGTTGTACAAGAGAAAACTGTACTTATTTAGGTTTGTAGTATTATAGGGAGTATTTTTTTCTTGTAGCTAATGTTGTGTCTAGGTTAATTTTTGCACACCTCAACTAATCCTCCATGTACATGCTACCTACTGGGTAACTCTGGCCATCAACGTTAAGACGAATGGGAAAAAATCACCCAACTTCCTTTTTGGCTTTGTTGAGGTTTGAGCCTTCATGGTTGATTCCATCTTTGTTGATCGCTAGGCCACACCTTTAGGTATAATATAAAGTTCTTTGACCTACGTTCTGTATGGTTACTCAGCTCAAACTGACTTAATCCTTTTTGTTATATATATTCTATCTTCGTCCCATCTTCTATCAGAAAAGTTATGGTTGCACCACCCCTTGCTTCAGATTATTTGTGAAACTCTATTATAGTAGCTTTGGGTGTCCAGCCAGTTCCATGACCTAGTAATGTTCGGATCTTCCTTTTTAAGTCCATTTTGATAACATGGTTTTGTGGTAATATCAAAGCTTGTTAGTTTTTGCATTATGGATCATTGATCACACTGTTGTCTTACCAGTAACTGTGAAAGAACATCAAGCTTGGATACAACTTCATTGGCACAAGTTAAAACTTACAATCTTATAGATATGGCTTCTAATGAACTGATTACCTCTTCTCTTTTTTTTTAACAAAAAAAAATCAATTAGTAAACATCGTTATTCGATTGAAACAAATGCTTGGTACCAAGTTGATTCTGGTGTTACAAAAAGGTATCCATTCTTCACAAATGTTCTTTCAATAAAGAGTCGTGACTTCTAACAGCTATCCTCATCATGCAAAAAAAGTGAGTTAAGCTAGATGACGATAAACTAAGTGATGCAAGTCCGGGTAGTACTCATTGCACGAAAGAACTTTTTCTTTTAAAATAAGACATGGAAGAAATTCTACTTATCAAGAACTTAAAATGTTTCAAGAGAGTATGGAAACCAAGAACTAATACAAGAAAAGATTAACATTATGTTTTAGGGTCCTTTTGATCATAGTATGATGTACATGTAATTAAGGTTATTTATGGGTTTTTTTTACATCTTAGTTAACTCTACTAGCATAAACAGAATAGGATGGAGATTATTTGCTTAGAGAATATTGATGTATGAACACTTTTAGTGAGTTTTGTGGGTTTTATCCCTTTATCTCTACATTGAATCGCTTTTGAATATTTCACAGTGAGATTATTCATGCATTAGTTTAATCCTCTTCTCCCTTGAATTTAATCTTGTAGTTGTTTGTTCAAATTAGAGGATCTATATTCTTGTTTGTCTCTAATATACGTCAATTTCAAGATTATTCTTTTTTTCTCCTATATCTTTATCTTCGCTGATTTCTTAGCTATCTCTTGAATTTCTTTATCTTGTATTTTATTTTACATCACTAAGGCCCTTGAAATTCAAAGATTGACATCCATAGACCTTCCTTCGCGACATCTCTGATTCCTTTTGTCGATACAGAAACAATGCAAGCTGGAATGGTATTAGAAATAATCTTCAGCTCCTTTGTTAGCTTTGCAGCCTTCGTTGCAACAAAACAGTTCTTTAGGAGATCTATGCATCACCAAACTCTACCCAAATATCTGCAGAAATAGATCCCCCAGATGTCAAGTCACTTCTTGCGGTGTAGAAAGAGCTGGTCATTGTCCTTCCACATTAGTACTGCATATGTAGCCCTTGCTGCACAGTGAAACCCCCTTTCTCTGCAGTCTTCCTGTTTTCCTTTTTTTTCCCTGGAAAATGTGATATGCAAGGAAATCTTACCAACTTAAATTGATGTATGGAGGTGATGGCACTGCTATCTTGTTGTTTATGTTCATTTCACTTCGCCTCTTTGATTTAGTTTATTTGTTGGTTTCCTTCTGATGGAAGCAATAATGTGGATACGTCTCTGCATATATTATTCTTTGCTATTACTGACTTCATATCTCTAATTTTCGTAGGAAAGTATTTGTTGGGGATGTTGTGCTTCTCAAGGACCCTATAAACTCAGAGGATTACCTTGTCCGTAGATTGGCTGCAATTGAAGGCTATGAGATGGTGTCTACCGATGAAAAGGATGAGCCTTTTGTCCTCGAAAAAGATCAATGTTGGGTGCTGGCTGATAATGAAAATGTGAAACCTAAGGTATATGATCCTCACAATAGATTGCTTTTCTTCTCCGGAATAAGATTCATTTGACTATTCTCTCAAATCCTCTCTTGTGCAAATCATGGAACTTGTCTTTGCACTTTATGTTACAATTTTAGAATATTTTTGCTTATTGTAGTATGAGATTAGTCCAACAATCCCACAAAATATGTTGTATCATCCTTGTATTGGGTTTCATTATCTGTTATGACTTATGAGCATCATGTTTTTGTTGTATACTTAAAGTTTCTGCATATCTGATAGGTGTCTTGATTACTCACTCACTGCATAGTGCATAGTAGATACAATTTATTTGCAGCAAAAATTGTATCATAAAGTATAGATATGTGCTATAACTTCAGAGTTTTCATCATAACTGAAACCTTATTTTACCGGTGATCCTATGTATTAGTTTAAGTTTACCCTTCCCTGCAGATTCTTGTACGGCACTTGCATACTGTGAGTAGTAAATCTAAAAAAAATCTTATTTTGACCTAAAACTTCAGCATTTTCAATTAGTAGAACTCCTTGAATTATGGTGAAGAGGCAAAGTTTATTAAATGAAATAATTGTTCGATGGAATTCATAAAACTTGAGCTAAATTTTCATCATTATCAGCTATACAGCACTGTGCTATCCATATTTATAGTATTCGTTGGGCTTTCCTACTCATACATTAAGGAAGGATAACAACTGTGCAAATATATATTTTTATCTTAATATTAACCTTCTAGATATTTTTCTTATCTCTTCAATAGCAGGAAGCCAAAGATAGCAGAACTTTTGGCCCTGTTTCCTTAAAAGACATAGTTGGCAGAGCTATATATTGCCTGAGGACGGCAGTAGATCATGGTCCTGTTAACAACAGGTTTGTTGTGTCATTGTTTATCTGCTTCGTTACTCATCAAATAGAATTTTCATTCTGATCATGATTCATTCATCTCTTGCTTTATCAGTCCGTTTAGCATGGATTTGGATTCACCAGTCCTAGAAGTAGAACTGGATGTTGATGAGATGGCAAAAAGTCACAAAGCATAGGTTGTGCTTTGGATGTGAAAGGTTTTCCCAGAATTACTGATTTGGTTGTACCCTCCCTTTCTTGTTTCCTCTTATTAATCTGAGCAAAATTCATTGGGGAAAAAAAAATAAAGTTGTATTAGTGATTTTGGTACATTTTCCCAAGTGATGATCTTTTCCTCTTAATGAGTGAACTGTAAAACTTAAAGGTCTTCAGTTCTATTTAGGATGCATTTCAAAGCTGGAGCTGTAGTATGCAAGTTTGGGACAACCTGTAAAGATTTTCAATGATTCACTTTTATTCAGGCTGAAGCCAATTGACAAAGAGAGGAATTTTCAGAAAATTATTTTGAGGGATTTCTTTTCATTTGTCTGAACCATCACTAAAGTCGCAATAAAGAGTAGATATGAATCCATAACCTTGAAAATATAATAGGTACAACGATAAGAACAATAACACTTGAACACATTTAGGGTGTGTTTGATACAAAGAAAAATATTTTTCTAAAATATGTTAACTTGAAAAATAATTTTATTTCTAACTTACTTTTTTATGTTTGGCTGATAGTTGAAAATATTTTCGAGAATATTTTTAGTGTTCGGCTGGTGAATGAAAAAAAAAATTTGAAAATATCTTTTTATTTTTGGCTAGCGAGTAGAAAATATTTTTAGGAAAATAGTTTACGACTCAAAAATCAATCTCGATGATCAATCCTGATTTGAAATGTGATCGTGAGATCTGACCTAGGACCTGTCTCAAGCTTTTTGATCTGAGATATGACATTTGAATTGGGATTCAACCGTGACACTCAAACTTAGATACAATCAATATTACAGTAGAATTGGAAAATATTTTACTTATTTTTTAAAAAAGAGTCATTTTCCTTAAATTTGAGGAAATAACTTGATTTGCAAAACGTTTTTCAAAACATTTCTTGAAGAAAGTAGCCCTTTTCAAATTTCGGCTAGGGCATTTCTTTCCTCAGCGATTCAATAGCTTTTGTAGTTTTGCCGACCCCTTCAATGAAAGCAAATTTTAGCTCCCTGGTCTTTCACATCAACTTCTACAAGTTCAACGATTTCTGGTTCACCAAGTCACAAATTGTATTGCATATGATATGAAACTCAAATTTAAGTATTTTAAAGACAATAATAGCTAGTGTTAGGAGTTAAAAAGGATGGTAATTTCACATATAATTACGTAATTAATTATTTTTCAATCATAAAAATTACTACTACATTTTGAGATACCAACTAAAAAATCACAAATTTGAAAAACGCTAAAACTTTCCAATGTTCACTCTTTTTTCCAAAAGAAATCTAATAAATAATAAGCCAATTAAAAAGCTGTGTTTCGATCCGATCAAATCCAAAATACATAAAAAAAAAAATTGTAAGAAATGAAAACTATGAGGGGGTAAAGTGATAGATTTCAAAACCAAAACGGACCGCAATTAACTAGATTTTGAAATTTCATACTTTGCCTTTCTGACCCCAGAAAAATGGTGAATATATAAAACTTCCCCTTATCAGTGTGCAAGATATATAAAAACGTAACAAGAAGCTTAGTAGAAAGGCGAAAATCGAAAATGCGAAAGTTTGATTGAGACTGCAAAACTATTTCTTATGTTTTCTCAAATTCCAAAAATGTCAAGCGCCATTGATTTCACTCTCAAAAATCTTCCAGGTAATTTTTTTGTTCTGTTTATGTTCAATATGCAAGAGCTCCACGTTGGGTTGGGCATGAACATGCACACTAACTGTTTGAGTTAATTTCTCAAAGAGACAAAACATTAATGAAGTCTTTTCTTTTGATTGAGTGGATACAAGAATGCTTCGTTTTATCACTTTTGGTGTCCTACGGGGTGTCTACAAGGTGTTTGATGAAATGTTTCTGTTAAAAAAGAGGTCACTTTATTTAGTTTGGATCTTATTAACGGCCTAGCTATGTCGGAACACTATCTAATAAAGAGAATAACTACTGCAAACTACTCCTCTTTTCCATGTTAGGTGAATTGTTACGAATTTGTTCATAATCCAAAATAAGTGAATCCTTCAAAGTTTAAGGGAGTTGTTGAGACTACTTGATATTTTCTAAGAAAGAATAGTTTGGAAATAATCATAAGGGTAATAGTGATAACTAGTCTTTTATTTCATACATAACTAGTTGAGGTCGGCTACTTCAATTCTTTATATCCATTTTGCTCTGGTTGGATGCTTTCATTATGATGCTTAGTAGTTTGTCATTTAACAAAGAATTGAATGATGTTTATTATTGATGCTATTGATAAATAAATACATAAGCTAGAATTCCTTGAGTAATTCAGTGTCAAGATGGTTTATTTTTGGCTGCATTTGATTCGGCTAAAGTGGTGGAACTGTTTTAGAACAGTTTGAGCAGGTGGTTTCATTTGCAATGTTCTTGGAATAGTTTAAATGTGAAGGTTTTTCTAGGTGCTGTGGGGTTTTGAGGTGGCAAATATGCAGGATTATTGGTGTGTATGGCAACCTATTGGCTTTTCTTGGAGTAAAGTTTTTCTTTTTTTCAAACTCTCCAATTTCCTATTTAGTGGAACTTATATTTTGTTCCGATTCTTTTTAGTTTCCAGACCTTTCCAATTTACTTTAAGTTTCAGTAGTTCACACATCAGCTTGGTCACACGTAAGCATAAACTAAGAAAATCTCATAGATTCCCTGGTCATGCCAAGAACTCTTCCAGCCTCTTTTTCTTTCCGTGAGGTGCTAGCAGTGTCACCGATCTTGTCTTGTTCACAATGTATTTCCATAAGCCCCATTTTTCGTTGCTTTTATTCTATTTCTAGAACTCTTTGCCCCTCTCATTTTAGTGTATGATATGTGCATCGTTGGTATTGATTGACATGGTGACGTCAGGGTTATTTTCATTGCAATAGTCGTTTCTGTTATTTTTAATACTACTAATTCTTGTAGTGACAACAGTTATATCATTTTTAAAATGCAAATGCTTCTTATAGAAGCAGAATTAATGACTTTTTAACTTCTTATTTGTAGATAGCTTTAGGACATATGATACATAAAATGTTAGGCATAGGAGGGAATCTTATATAACATTGTACAGCTATCCCAAAGAGTGTTCTTGAATCGGTAAATGGAAATGCTTACTTGGAAGAAGATCTAAATAAAGTAACTTTTCTGAGATTATGCATCTTATCCCTATACAGTTGTGATCCTATTCTTTAGTCAACCTTTCACATGGAGCTCAACATATTTTTAAGCTTCAGCTGCAATGTAAGTGCATCAGTCGTGACCAACATGTTGATCATTCCGTTGACAAAGAAACAGCTATTTAGTAACATTCTCTTATGCATAAGTTCTTTTTTTTTCTTTTTGTATCTGTAAAATCGAATTTAAACACTTACATATGTGCTATTTAGAAACATTCTCTTATGCATAAGTTAATTTCTTTTTGTATCTGTAAAATCGAATTTAAACACTTACATATATGCTATTATACTATTTCAGGGTTTAAATCCCCAGAAGGCAGATGTCTTCCCTGCTCAGGACTGTCTGGAAGGACAGTCACTTCTCGTGGTGAATATCAGCAATTTTCCAAGGTCAAGATTTTAAACTTGAAATCTCCTTACAAAAGCACATCTTATATGTGTAGTGCTAGTAGCTTCAGCAATCATAAAAGAAATCCAGATTTTTCGAGGCAAAACAAGCATGGTTTCTCCAGGGGGCGGAACAGGCAAAATGAAGACAGAGATGGTTATGAAAATATAGAAGAATCAGAAATGATATCTTCAAGAAATGGGCCACTGCTTACTACATCAAACACTTCGAAATTCCAAGCTACAGCCACTCCAGGTCCAAGGGAAAAGGAGATTGTTGAGCTATTTAGAAAGGTCCAGGCTCAGCTTCGGGAAAAAGCTGCTATCAAGGAGGAGAAAAAGTCTGAAGAGTTGCAAGGAAAGGGTAAAGAGAGTGAAACTGTTGATTCCCTTCTCAAGCTTTTAAGGAAACACTCAGTTCAGAAAGGGAAGAAAACCAGTAGCAGTAGAAGTAGCAACTTTGTCCTTGACCAGCCAGATAAGAGCAATGTATTCTCTGAAGAGAGAGCTAGCAATCTCACTGAACTAAATAGCAATGTGAACCATGTGGCACAAGAAAGTGGCACCCCATTTGTTAACCGACCTAAGTCAAACTTCCAGCGTAGATCTCCAGTTCCGCGAATCAAATTTCAGCCTATTTATCACGAGGGAGGTACTGATAACCCTGTTGCCTCTTCTGCTACAGATAAGATGGAAAATGACATACATCTGGACCTTGAACTTGGGCAAATTCCCAGAAGTAAGGTTGATTCTGACACTGAGACTATTTTCTCAGATAAGCATGTGTTCGATGAGATGGCTGATGATGATACTTCCAAAATGTATGGAAGTGTTGATGCTAGTGATGATGAAGAACACAATCACGCTGGACACGATGAATTAGCTGAAATGAAGCTAACAGAACTACGAGCAATTGCAAAGTCCCGTGGTTTGAGGGGATACTCGAAACTGAAAAAGCTAGAGCTCATTGAGTTGCTTAGTGCTGATCAAGTCTGATATGGTTTACAAGTAAAATAAAGGTTGATGTAGAATTTTGTTGCACATTCTTCGTTTGCGTGTTGCATAATGTTCAACTTACATAGTACTTTTCTCTTGATGGCGGTTTCTGTGGTCGAATTGGACAATTTTGTTTACTTCATCTACGTAGCGATCTCTTCCCCTGATATACATATTTGTCTAACTTTTTAAAATCCTTTTTGTGTTTCACATTATTTCTTATGTTCATTATACTTATTGGTGATTCTGAATCTCTGACAACTGTCAAGTAGCGTATCTTGGACTCTTATAACTTCAACAAAATCTGCTGTTCAAAGTAGAGAGACATCATCGCACATTCAGTAGTGCAGGTATGAGTGAGCATGTTATTGTTCTGAATTTTTCATTTTAGTGATTTGATACTCGCTAAGACTATAATGGGATGTTATTTTCTCCCCTTCCGTAATTCTGGCAATTCAGTTCAAACAAATGTATGTGCTGCTTGGTGTTGTTTACTTCTCAGTCTTGATGCTCAACTATTCCATCACCTGCTATTAGAAGATTCAACTCTCCGTAAAATGTGTTGTTAAGGTTACAATCGCTATGTTTAGTGTTGCCTTGTTGCTGAACCAGGAAGGGAATGAACCAGCTCATGATTTATGGAGTGGTATTTGTTCTCATGTCCTTTCCTATTTCATTTCATTCCTCTTTGCAACTGTTCTTCCTCGAATTATGTGAAATCTCTAAGTCTATTATCATCATTTTAATGGTATTCATGCTCTACTTCAAGCTTGATGAATCAAAATGGAGTCATTGTTGTATGGAAGTTGAACTATGATTGCTGAAGTGTATACTGTTCATTGTTGAATATAACTGAATGCTAGATTGAGTTCAGTTCATTTCTGGCTGTGGTTTATGGTGCCTTTAGTTGAAATGCAACATAACAAGTAAAAGTGAACGAAACTTATAAATACAAAGATGCTAAAATTGACTATCTCATGGAAGGGAGTGGGATGTGAGAATATATAGTCATATTATGAAAAGTGAAGTTGCAAGAAGTAAAAGAAAAAAAATCTTGTCTCTGCCTGTTAAATGTTGATTAATTGAGATCTGACATCCATAACATTTTATTTTCCTCAATCTATGGAGTACACTTCACATCCTTCAACACATCAAGAACTAAATATTTAAAATATGATCAACATAGTATTGAGATCTAATAATGAATAAACTAAGAATTACAACACAATTTAGGATTAATGTAATACCATATCAAAAAGAATGTCTTTTCACTAAACCTCAAAATCTGAATCTCGAGTTGATAAAAATTACTTAATTATAGATAATAACCTATTTCCTCGACAACGTGGGACATTTTGACATAATTTTTTGTTGAGCAAACAACAAATAAATGTGAATCTACATTGGATTGATTTACGTACGATTGGCTTTATATATGTCGTGTAAGAGACAAATTCAGACCAAACAAGGGGACACTCTGCCCATGAGCCTATGCGTGGAATCTTTAAAACCTTTCGTACATATATATTTAATACAAGAATATATTGCACTAATTAAATTTCATTTTTAAAAAAAAAATGCAGCAATTATTTATATATATTTAATATTCAAATTCTTTAGATATCACAGCTTTTCAGTGCTTAATTATATTACATTATTGTGGAGTCCGTTAGACTATGATCGATAGAAAAATTAGTACACGTTGAGACATAAATAAATTATTGTTTCGTTGGAAAAAATATTGTCCACGTTCAGAGTTTATTAATTAATGACAAGTAAGGGTTAATCAAGACCTCACTTAATAAGATTTTATTGAATATCTTATTATTATTATTGAGATCCATTACGTACAAAACTAAGTTATGATCTTTTAATTTAAATCTAAAAATATATTTAGTATGTATAAATAATCTTACAAAGAGCTAATGAATTAAAAAATATAATATATAATATAAAATTTATAAAGTTTAAATTCTAGATATATTTCCGTCCTAGATATTTTCCCCTATAATTCGAACTTTTTGTACAAAATGTGATGCACTTTTGTTATTCACAAAATAATTAGTAAAATTTTAATTATAATTCCATATTTTACTCCACAAATATACTTCCTAGAAAACAAGGTAGCATAACTTAAACGACACATATGTTGTGCTATTATTAAAATCTATAATGTCACTAAAAAATCATGTGGTTACAGAAACTAGAAAAGATTAACATTTGGCAGCTATTTAGACTCAATTGGTGGAGCTAAAATTCATTACTTGATTTTGAAAAATAAAAATAAAAATGCTAGAGTACTGTCACTCTAGTAAAAGTTAACTAAGCAAATTTTGAAGATGATAAATTAACCTAATATAAAAAAGTTTTAAGTTTTTTTAAAAAAATAAAAAAAAATCCTAGCAAACACCTAAGATGATTTGCAATCACTTTATAGTTGGTATTTTCTTTTTCCACTTTTAATTATTCATAGTTTCTTTTTAAAGTTCAATTATACAAACTTAACTATCATTTTATAATGTATTATAATATTTTTTGTATTAGTTTTTGAATATCTAAAATTTTTTGTTTGAAATATCATATTATATAATTTAATTTAACTTTAAAAAATAAATTAACTTATCTTTTGAAAAATGTAATATGATAATTAAAAGTGGACGGAAAAAAAAGTCATGGAAGAAAAAAAATCATTAACCAATTAACTTTTTGTAGAATATTATTTTTTTTTTAGTCATTTGTTATTTTGCGAACCGCCGTTTACGTCATGGTTTTAATTATTTGTATACGGTCCATTGAAGTTGATAACAGAAATAATTTTTAATTTTATCCCTTTACAGATAGCAAATAATTATTTTTATGACAATAAGAAAAGTGTTTGATTGAAATACAAACTAAAATATTTGAATCTTACCATATAAAGATGTGCAAAATTAATTTGAAGAAGCTCAACCTACATATATATATATAGTGACAATAAAGTTGGTATAACCAAACAATAATTTCATAATATTTTTCTTCTTCACACTAATTAATATTATTTTATTATATTTCGTGGCACGCATACATTTTATTTTGTCGTGTTAATATTGCAGCTACAAGTGAGTTGGCATTGTTGACTCAATTGAAAGTTTGATGGGATTCTTTTTTTTTCTTGAAACATAATAGGATCTTGTCATGTCCATAATTGTTAATCTAAATCATTTTTACGCATTTGTGTTGAATATGTTTGAATATCTTCCTACTCTTTTTAACATATAAGTACTAAAAACTAATAACTAATATAGAGATATTCGTTTTGAATATTTACAAAGTCATAAAGAAAAGGTACATGCATGTTTGATGTTAAATTATACTAAATCACACAAAATTATTACATTAACTAATGAATTGAGGTAAGAACGTCGGGTTCTGTATCGGTCGGTTCGGTTCGGATTTAAAGTTTATTGGGTTGACTTATTGGTTATCGATTTGTAGAGATGCTAAACCGTTAAAGAACAATTAAGATATTGAATTATCGGTAATTAATTTATCGGTTTTTGATCATTATCGGTTCGGTTATCGATTTAATCGTTAAGATTTGACACAAAAGAAAAAACATTGAAAATCACTTAGAAACAAGGTGACAAACCAAATAAATATGCACTTGAGTCCACAAGTTACATCTTTCTCAAAAGCAACACTTTTACATTGTAGAATAATCAAGTGTTTGAGACAACAAAAAAAAATGGGAAATTAAACTCTAAGTCGAGGAGTTTACATACAAAATGGTATAAATATAATTATTTAATTTACTATCGGGTTATTAGTTAAGACGTTAAGCAAAAACTTCAAACCGTTAAGAACCGATAACCCGATTAAAAAAAAATCAAAACCGTTATCAAAACCACTAAATTAATATCCAATACTATAAACTAATAACTTTTTTATCGATTCGACTTATCGATTTCGATTCAATTTTGAACAGTTCTAGTCCCAACTATACCCAAAAATTTAAAAGGTAAAATTTCAATAAATTTAAAGGGACCTAATTGAGTGTTGTAGAATACTAGCATTTTTAGCTTATTTGTTTAGTTTTTTCATACTCTCTAGTAAATAGACTTGACTTTTTGGCTCATAAATAGGCCATCTCTCAAAAGAGAGGGCATCTGGAACTTCATGATATTTAATCAACAAACACCATTGTATAGTCAAAGACCCTCCATTTGCTCCTTGCTATTCCCTTTATCTCAATTTAAATGGGATAATATTAAAAATTCTCATGAATTTAACGTAAATTATTAGTGTTATCTTTGCACTATTGATAACCTAAAAACATCTTGCAATAGACATTGAAATTTTTTGTGGGACTAATTACCAGACATGTTCACGATTCCACTTAGGACTCTTAGTGGCCACTCTACAGTAAACCCTAATTTATGCCTACATAACGGGTATTATAATCTTTAAAAGGTATCTCGAAGAAATCATAAATTCGTGAAATATTCATAAGGAAATCAAAATATGTCCTCATACATTTGAGAAATACATTAACAGTCTTCAATTATATATGGAAAAATTCAGATACGTATGTCACTCTTGAATCACCGTGAAAAATCTTAAGAGAGAATAATAAAATAAAAAATATACATGTACCCTCAATTAATTTTTATCAATAAAATTATATTCCTTCATATTTTGTTTGTGATTATAATTTATATTTTATTATTTTGAAATTTGTGACAAACAACATCTATCTATATGTTTTTTTGTATGTCATAATGATTATTCAAAGTCAGTATAGTTGTATTAGTATTAATTTAGTTGTTTTTTAAGCGTGGTTACGATTCCCATAATCTCTTTGCTGTCTAATCTCTCCCCCACCTAACCAACATTTAACAAAAAATATTGCATAATTTAATTTGGACCTAATATGGGACAACTTGAGACAAATTGCCCTTTTATCTCTATCCTAAATCCTATATTCAAAAGTCAAAACCTTAATTCATAAATTTAGATAATGTTTCATTCACAAGTGCTTCACCAAATCATCATTATTTTAATAATTTTTAATTGATATATCTCCTTCTTATCCATATAATAATAACTAATAATTATTACTAAAGCCTAACCCTTCAACTCGTTTTAAGAAATTAGGATTTTGGATGATAATTTGTTTAAAGATAATGAT